GTCCTAATAATGTCTACAATATTAGACTAGACCATTCTTTCCTTGGCTAAGATCCTGAAGATGAAATTTATTGACATTTAGTGGCCATGTTGAATGAGAATTTTATACCTTTGAATATTGGAATCACTCTGCCCACTCTCAATGAACTGAGATGATCCATTTGCAAGAAGTACAAGACTGAGAGAATATAGAGCAGGGTTTCCAACCTCATACCCATTGTGGTAGAATATTTTCTTTAACAGTGGTTGGCAGAAATGCCACTTTAGTTTTTTTTAAAAAATAGTGTGTGTGTGTGTGTGTGTGTGTGTGTGTGTATGTGTAGAGGAAAAACAGAAAGGCAATAAATATAGCTGTATGCTAAATGACCTTTTGAATGCCCTTTTGATTTGGCATCATCTTGAACACTTAGTGTATATTATCTGTGGGCTTATTTTTAATTGATATATCTTGATAGATTATAAATTCAATGAGCTGTATGTATCTGGTTCACCATTGTATCCCCAGAGACAGTTATCATACCTGTTTGCAATAATATTTGTATTCTGAAAGGTAGTAGTAAGCTTAATGTGTAAGAGCCTGGTTGCCATTAATGTGGCAGCCTCGATCTGAACCCTGTCTAAGTCATTGCCAGCTGTGAGACTGTGGCAAACTATCTGTGCAAATCAGTGCCCTCATCTGAAAACTGAGGACAATGACACTCATTGTATCAACCTAGACGGACTCAGTTATACTCTAAAAACAAGCCCCCACATATCAATGGGCTAAAGTAGCAACGTTTTTTTGTTTGTTTGTTTGTTTGTTTGCTTATTTGTTGGTTCTTGCTGAATTACATGTTCGTCATAGATTGGCTAGGACTCTGTCCTGTGTTGTCCTTGTCCTCAGTCTGAGACCCAAACTGCCTTAACAGGCACTAGCTGGCACAATGTCAATTTCCCTAGCAGAGTGAAAAGCACATTCTTCAGGGCCCAGCATTAGAAATGAACTGTTTGACATAGACACAACGCAAGTTACTTCTGCTTGCATACTGGACTAGCCAGTGAGGTCCAGGGCTAACCACTCTGCCATGAGCCCAGTAGGTAACAAGGCAGAAAGGCACTGTCCTCATAGGGCTATTGTGAAGGTACAAGTGTTTATAAAGCACTTGGAAAGCACCTGGCACCTCAACACATGTGTTTGCTACCTCCACAGGTGTTTGCTGCCACTTTTATTCTTATCTAAACTAAATGCATTCATCCATTTGAAGGACATTATGAAGTCACCTTTCAGACTTCTCCTTATTCAGTTGAATTTGGATAAATGTTTCATAGCAGTTGTTTCTCCGTTCTCCTTTATAGACCAGTGGACACCAGTGTCCTATGCTTCAGACCATTTTCTAGTCCAGCACAGATCCTGAGCAGTTTGGAGGACATTTCCTCCAGCCTCATCTGTCTTGAGACTTCTGCAGCCCAGGGGGCCCAAAAAGGCAAAGCCAGGGAGGGGGGCATGCTGAAGGGAAATGAACCTTAGTAGCTTTTATGAGTTGGATGCTGTGAAGATCCCAGTTCTAAATGTGTTTCATGCAAAAATATTTATACTTCAAGCTGTAGCATGCAAACAGCAATCTGCATTTATTGGTTTCAGATGCCAATTTCCTCCAGCTCCAGTTCTCCTTTGTGTTATATAAACAAATCTCAACCATCTGGACCACAACAAGCCACACTGAAGTATGCGCTCATTCATTGCAAAAGCCTCAAATCAAAATACAATCTCACAGAATTCTGCTTAACAGAAAATTGGAATGTATTTTGTGGACCTCAAAAAGCTGTTTAAAAAAAAATATGAATGTTCAGTGTCAGGACTTAGAATTTGAAAAGGATAGCAGAAATAAAAACATTAAAAATATTGATCACGTTGATAAGCAGAAACAAACATAACCAGAATGTCCTATCCTATGGTGTTACCTATTTTATGAGTGGTCTAATTGAGCACTCTCCAAATTACCTCACAAAGGAGAAGGCCCCAGGAAAGGTTTCTCAGACATATGAGAAAATAGAAAAGAGATTGCCCTCAGATTCACTCATGAAAGCCAGAAAGCAAAAGCTTAAATTCTTACCCTCGTAAGAAATGTAAAACAAATACTTCAGAACAATTGCAAGAAGTAGGCTAAACTCATTAATGTCAAGACACAATGATTCAAAAGGATGTTATGCCAAAAAATAAAGGACTCGCTCAAGCAAGTTACACATGTGACCACCTACGCACCTGCACATCCGAGAAGAATGCTAAGCATCAGCCCCCTGATAAAATCCCAGGCTGCTGAATTCGTCTCCCCAAAGCCAGACATAAAGACAGTTACCATGGCCAGCCTTACCCACAGGCAAATACAAGAAGAGCTGGAGACATTTCGTGCTTCTTTTCCCTCTGCCTAAAAATATCTCCCCACCAACTTAGCACAGTGCTTAAAAATGTCTATCCTTTGGGAAAGATACCCATCATGACTTCATGGCTCCTATTCATAAATCTGAACCTTGTGGAAAGGATCTTGAGAAAACGAGGTATAAAATAAAGGAATTTATTAAGACAGTGAAAACTGATGGGTCTGTGTTAGCTTTCTATTATTATGTAATGAATACCTGGGAGAGAAGAGGCTTATTTCAGCTCTGTCTACAATCAATTGGCTTGTCGCTTTGAGCTTGTGATGAGGCAGCACGTAAGAGCAGAAGCACATGGTGAAACTAAACCATTCACTTCATGGGTAGAAAATGCAAGAGGAAGAGCCTGGGGTCCCACTGTCCCCTTTAATGGCACCTCAGCCTCCATGACTTGAAAGAGCTCCTACTAGACTCCACTTCTTAAAAGCTACGCAGCCTCCCAATAGTGCCGCTCTGGGGAACAAGCCTTTAACAAAGGCCTTTGGAGGACTTTCCAGATCAAATTCTAGCTACAATACTGGGAAGACTCTGAGGTTCTGAATCATGAAGAGAAGCACATGGCAGGGAAAAGGAGGTGCCACCAAGCTGCCTGAACACTTTTCCTGAGTTCTAATGATTGTGCCTCCTGGCTACTCTTAACCCATCTGGTGTCTAATTATCTCGCACATACCCTTAAACCATGTATGTGTAATTACATCAAAGCTGAATCTACCAGATTACTTGGCATCCTGGAAACGCTCTACACATGGAGGCTGTGTGGTCACACAAGTTAGACGACTATCTGTTGGATTTCCTAAGTTTCAGGGTGTAGACATTGGCCAATTAAAAATTCCACCTCCTTGACCACAAAAGTGGGATCCCAGTCATTTGAAACTTGCTCAACTAAACTAGATCTTGTTTACTTTGACTCAATATTTTGTTTTAAAACCAATACTTCTTCTTGAGATGCTATGCTCCAACTTTGTACACAAATTAATTGAAAATACTTAGCAATCTATTATCCAATCACAGATCGGAAGAGCAAGTCTGCCCAGATGTAGGCAGACTCCCATGAACTGTCCCCACTTTCCATCCTTTAATGGCCCCAATTTGGGTCAGTTGATTGGCCATTATGAATAGTACTTCTAAAATGACTAGTGCCTTCATATATCTTATTATTCCAATCTATTAGAAGTATTTCTCAGGAGAGAATCAAACCCCCATTAAATCTTTAAAGCAGATCCTTCTAGTTGTGATATTTAGATAAATAGAAGGTATGGTGAGAAAATATGGATTCTTCATTTATAGTTAAATAATGATAATTTAAATATTATTTATTTAAATTAATATAATTTAAATATTAATAATAATATCAATTGCCTTTAGTAGATCATTGCAATTTACTATAATTTTCAGATTTCCTTGGGATGAACTACTGTCTTACTTTAAATAGTCTTGGTTATCACAGTCCTGAAAATTCCAATCACACAAAATTTGCTGTATTTCAACTAACTTCCAGTCCATCATTTAATTCCAAAATAATATTTTTTAAAGAGAGAGAGAGAAAGAGAGAGAGAGAATTTTAATATTTATTTTTTAGTTTTTGGCGGATGCAACATCTTTGTTTGTATGTGGTGCTGAGGATCGAACCCGGGCCACACACATGCCAGGCAAGCGCACTATTGCTTGAGCCACATCCCCAGCCCCCAAAATAATATTGATATAAAATATTCAAATGACTTGAAATAATTCCTAACCCTCTAGAATGGTTTTTCTCTGTTGTTCTTAGGATTGTTTGAATCATCAATAAAACCCAAAAATCAAACTTTCAGAGAATTGTGCTCAGTCAATGAAGTTCAAACTTCAATAGTTGGCAGGAAAAGCTAACTTTTGTAAAACAGCAATCATCAATCCTACTTTTATATCTCACACAGAGCCATGCTCTTCAATTTAGGGGAAAAGGTCTAATAGTAACTGTTTATAAGTAGGTTTCTATATCTACATGAAAGGTTGGATCCATTCAAATATTAAAAAGTCAGAGAAATCTGAAATAAACTTTAGAAAGATCTCCAAATGGAATGTCTACAATGATTTCCAAAAGCATTTACTCCAAATCAAGTTTGTGTCTTAATATGGGAAACTAGAAAGTGTTTATACCTGGACAACCTCATTCCCTAATCATTTCAGTTCAAGGCATTACTGCTGTCGGTCAGTTCTTACAACACACATGTAGCAATACCTCTCCGTATCAATGAATAAAGAAGAAGTTAGGTGGTCAATGAACTGTTCTTTTCCAATAACTGATGAGGAATAGGAATCACAATGTTAGAAACCACTTTGAGAGCATTCATCAAACTGTAGGAGGCAGAGGGGCGAAGAAGAGCATGTACTTGAAGGCTCGATTTGATCTAGCATTAGTCTCATCGACAACCTTGTCGGGTGTTCCTTCAAAGCTAGCTCATAATCGGCTTTTGTCATCCTGTTACATATGCCAAAAATAGAGCCAACTAAGCATTTTCAAAAACATCAAAACATCAGCCCCAATGAACAAGGCGATATGTTGTGTAAATGCCACAGCTCTCCGCATTTCAGGAACGGGTAATTTCTTACCTTGCTCTCTTCTCCTTCAAACACAGACTGGTGAACATTACATGCAAACAACGAGTTGGGGAGATCGTTGAAGTCAGTGATTGCTTGAAAGGCTTCCTCTGCGAAACACCGAGTGACAGCCCAGTCCCTGTCTATGCAGCAGAGTAAGAGAAGCCCTCCATCTTCTGGGATGTACCCCTGCTGCCCCAGGCTCCTCATTCCGATGAAGTATGATTCTCCTCTCATTCCTGAGGACACAAAGACAGATGTTTATTAAAGTTGAGCAGATTCCTTAAAACTCAGTTTTCAGGTTCTGGACAGTTTGGGGCAGGATAGGGAAGTGTGATTAGAAGAGGCAGGTGCTCTCGGAAGGGAAAAGATACATGTTCACATCATTCCTTTCCTCTTTGACTCAGAATTTTCCATGCAGCTCTGTTTCTGAGCAATCGCCCAGTCAGTTCTATGGTCAAAACCAAAACCAAGATAAAAGTTATATTGTGTGCATGTATGAGTATGTAAAAACAAATCCCATCAGTATGCACAACTATAATGCACTAAAACAAAAACTTTTAAATCCCAACTCTCCCAAAAAGTTGGAGACCACCATCACTATTGATACTAATGATGCCTGTCATGTGCTGAGTTCCAGGTATTATTCTAAATGATTTACATGCATTAAACCTATTTAATCTCCACAATTACCTATGAGGTTGGCACCAATATTATCCCCATTTTATACATGGGAAAACAGAGGAACAAAGCAACTAAGTAGCCCTTAAAAGGTTAATTACAAAATGGCAAAGCTAGGATCCAAACCCAAGAGATATGGCACCAGAACTCTCTCTCCTTTGCCATGGGAATGAAGCTTATCAAAATTAGCAGAAATTTAAAGAAATATGATCTAACTCATAATCACCTGAGTCTTGATTCCATTGACTATAAAAGTTAACTGTTGATCCACAATGAGAATACATGTACACACATTCAATACTTGTTGTTTCCTCTTCTGCATGGGATAATTACTGCAAGTCATTGTAAGCCTTGTCCAGATCTTGAAAAATGATGAATACCCTGGCTAAGTCATGCTTTGTAGATCCCTCTTCCTCCTATCCCTATGAAGCCTAGCTGTCTGTGTTTGATCTATCATTTCCTAAACCTTCCATAATTGACCCAACTGCAGAGGTTTTGCTTTTGTAATACTGGGTACATAATTCAGGAGATTTGGTTTGTCTCCCCACATATTTCAAGGATCGAATGAACTTTTTTTTCTTTCATGTTTATTTTCATGCCTATAATACTCTTCTGCCCAAAGTTCAATAGAGACCAGACAGTGAAAACACTCACCAAGGGTTACACAGGCAGGACTAACTGACAATTATGAGGTGGTCACTGAGTCATCTCCATCCAGCTCGATTTTCTTCATGCCCAGCATCACAGGGTAAAGGCAGAAAGATAGGCACAATTAACATCACCCTGCCTTCAGGATGCTCAGTCAGACAAATTCTGGGATCCCTGACAACACACGGGGTTCTGCTTATACCTCTTTCAAATTCTGAATCATGATGATGAGATTTTTTTTTCTCTTCATTTTTCCTAGAAAAGTCACTATGAGAGTTTGATAAGCAGTTTCTCATGGCAATAATGAGTTACATATAAAATCTCTGGTTGAGATAGAAGCAAAAAAAGTCAATTATTTAGAGTAATAATTCTAAAATTGAATCACAGTTTGTTTTGTTTGGTTTTGGTTTTAGTAGTGGGGATTGAACCCAGTGGCACTTAGCCATGGAGCCACATTCCCAGCCCACTGTTTAATTTTTAATTTTTATTTTAAGACAGGTCTTACTAAGTTGCTCAGGGACTTGCTAAGTTGATGAGGCTGGCTTTGAGCTTGTGTCTCAGACTCCCAAGTCATTGGGATTATAGGAGTATGCTGTAATCATGGTAAATCAAAAAATTGTTCTATATAAAATATGATAGAACTATTCTTATATTCTGAAGTTTTTAAAACTCCAACTAGTGCAACATTTTCTGTATATAATAATAAAATAAACATTTTCATTAAAAATATGATGTATGGTTTATTCTATAAATCACCTAAATTATATGAATATTTTCAATTGGAAGGAAAATGATCTAATAAAATTAAAATAAATGGAATTCAACTGCTAGACATCTTCAAAACACATATACATTCATTTTTATTCATCTATATAGTTCTTCATATTTTAGTGTAAATAAATAACAGTCATTATTGAGTATTATTAGAATACCAGCTACCTTACTAGTAAAAATAATTACTAAGAACACCAAAACAACATTGTTTCTATCAATAGATGATAGGAAAATATTTTGATAATGAAGTCATAATCATCCAGTAGCATGAACCATAGATATTGTCAGTTTTGGTTTTATGTTTAAGCTTGTCCATTTTACTTTATAAAAGTTTGAGTGAATAAAGACTGGTCCTCAAATTTTATTACATATGTTCTGTGAATGTTTCAATTATTCGTTCACCAAAAAGAAACTAAAATCCAATGCTGGACAAATTAAATAGGCCAAATATTAAGCCTCACTTAGGACTCATTTTAATCTACTCAAATAGCTTTAACCTCTGTTCTAAGCTGTAACAATACGATTATCTTCATGAGACTTTATTTTAAGCTCATTACTTTCAGGAAAGATTTGAAGAGTGAATGCATTTTTGGCAAACAACCCACTCTACTTACATGGAGAAATACTTTAGAAGTCAGAGCTTCAATGAACGAACCCTAATTTCTCTTTTCATTTCCCATCACTGGCTTATTTCATAATCTGGAGGAGTCACATGATCATTCAATGACTCAGTTTATCCTCATAACATAAGAACAAAATCACCTCCCTGCCTCCCTCTGCAAAGTAAGGGGAGGCACAGGAATCAAGCAGGAACCAAAGTGACCAGAATCAGCATTAACCATTAAATAGAAGGGAATGTAATATGAAGTGCTATAAAACACTTCATTAGGATAATCTCAGAACAAGGCAATTATGCTTTTGGATCATTATTAAACTTTAGGAAGCCCAAATAAACAGAAAAAAAAGAAAAATTTGATGATGAGAAAAACTTTGTAATAAGGACATGGAAAGCCCCAAGTACCAAATTAACTGGTTCATCTTTTAAAATTAATTTTAAAAGTCTTAACTCTAATAAGAAATGTTTGAGGCAACCATTATTTGCCTAACATAAAAAAAAAGTGCATGTGTTGTATTTTATTTCTAAGTCTGAGGTTGGCCCTCCAAAAGGAAGAGCTGCCTTAAACTGGAGGTTTGCCCACCCACCCATGGGCACGTTCCCCCCCAATCCTGCACTACTCAGCCTTCTCCAATGAAACCCCCTCTCTTAGAGTGAGTGCTTTCTTTGACCCACATCTCAACTTCAACTGGTATTTCCAGAGCGCAGAGATTGGCTGTCTTCCTCCTTACATCTTCAGATACATATAGATAGTCCTCAAAATAATGTTAGGATGAATGAATGAATGACATGAAAAGGAGTCATTTTCAGGAAGTAACAGACCAGCAATTGGATTATAATGACCAACTTAAAATATGTTGTTTATTTCAAATGTCTACATAAATCATGAAAATAATCCTCTCATTTAAATGTAAGGTTTGATTTATTAAATATAACTCTACAAATGAAAAAAAGCAAGAATCACTCAAAAGATTCATCTAGCTAAAATTTAAGAAGATCTATGGAGCATGACAAAAATAATGTCCATGCTCTTTGATTATATGAGTTTGCTACAGAAAGAACTGAAAAATTCAGAAAGATATAAAGAAGAAAAGAAAAATAAACCATAACCTTACTATCCAGAGAAACCTCCTCCTAAGAAACCTCCTTCTAATAGTTAATTGTTAGATATATTTAGTTCCAGTGCATTTATTTATTTATTCATTTTGGTACCGGGAATTGAACTCAGGGACACTCAACCACTGATTCACATCCCCAGCCATATATATATATGATTTAGTGACAGGGTATCACTGAGTTGCTTAGTGCCTCAGTCACTGCTGAAGCTAGCTTTGAACTTGTGATCCTCCTGCCTCAGCCTCCTGAGCCACTGGGATTACAGGCATGTGCCACCATGCCTGACCTCCAGTGCACTTTTTACATGTATAGTTTTTTGTTTGGTTGGTTCTGGGGATTAAACCCAGAAGCACCTAACCACTGGGCCAAACCTCCAACCTATGTTTTTAAATTTTGAGACAGCATCTCACTAAGTTGTTTAGAGTCTCGCTAAGTTGGTGAGGCTGGCTTTAAATTTGCAATATTCCTGCCTCAGCCTCCTGAGCTTTTAAAAATAAAATTAGAAAACATGCTGTTTAGTATCCCACTTCTTTCTGACAACATTGATATAATTCAGAGAAGTTCCCTGTATAATTATATATTCTTTGAAAACATTGATTTTAATAGTCACATTGCCTCCCAGAGTATAGATTTGTCATAATTTCTTTATCTATTCTTCTTTTGTTTGATATTTGGAAAGCATACATTTCTTCCACCACATGGGTCTGGAAAAGAAAAGCCATTATCTGCTATTAAAATATAAAGCCTCCTATGGGAGAACTCAAAACTCCCTCAGATGCAGGGTTACATCTTGATGAAGTACTAACAGAGCCCCAGGGAAATTCTTTGAGGCCAGTCCTTCCTTATAAGTAGGGGGCTTTGGGGCTGTAGTCTTCTTGTCAGTAAAATGTAAAATTACTAAGGCCTTATTCACCTTATTAGTCTAAGTGAAGGTCTTTTGAAGCCTCCCAAATAATTACCCAAATAATATGTGCATGAAAGCTACTTATTATTATCTTTAGGTGCATCAAGGGCAAGCTAACAGCAGAAGAAAGTTGGCCCTCATTTACTACTCTTAAGTGTGTCAGTGAGCTGGGTATGGTGGCACAGGATTGCAAGTTGGAGGCCATTCTTGGCAACCTAGCAAGGACCTGTCTTAAAATAAAGGGCTAGTGGTGTAACTCAGCAGTAGAGCATTTGCCTAACATGCACAAGGTCCTGGATTTAATCCCTAGTGCCAGAAAAAAAAATCTCAAAGGGTTTAAAACTCCAGTGCACATCCATAAGGGTTAAACCTGTGTCACTACAATGAGAATCAAGTACCAGTATGGCTTCAAGATTTGAAATGTATCCAGTGGAGACCCCATAAGGAGGGAGAGATCTCTATAAGGCAATAATAATAATAATAAAAATAAAATAAAGCTT